CCAAATCAAATTAGGCTAAACTAGATTTTTTAATTTCTTTTATAAAACAATATATTCTAGATTTTATAGAAATTAGAATTGACAATTTTCTTACCCCTACCCAATAATAACTTATATAATTAAAGCATTAAATTATCCCTATTTCTACCATTACTTTAGCTTATTTCTAGTTTATGAGCCTTATTCTACGGGTTGTATAAAAAAAAATTAAACTTAACAAAAAAATATTTGGACTATAAAAAATTATTGCTACCATTACTTTAGCTTATTTCTAGTTTACGAGCCTTACTCTACGGGTTGTATAAAAAAATTAAACTTAACAAAAAAATATTATCATTAACAGCTATTAATGCGGTTTGCCATGTTAATAAATGGAAATTAAAATCAATTGAATAAATTAAAGTTGAAATCTCAAAATTTAATTTTTTTTAGTTTATATTTAAAATTAAATTATATAAAAATTAATTAAATATAATTCAATCGGCTTAATCGCTTCAAAAATAACCCGTCCAACTAATAAAAAAATTAAAAAAAATGTCTCCTAATTAAAATTTTTTTTATCTAATTTGAGTTTAAAATTAAATTAAGTAAAAACTTTTTCAATATGATTCAATCAACTTAATCGATTTAAAATCAACTCGATTGATTAATAATAAAAATTTGAGGCTGAAATTGATAAAATAATTTTTTTTAATTCGGTTTTTTATTTAATTTAAATTTAAAATTTTAAAAAATATAAATTAAATTAATATCTGGTTAATTTTGACAATTAAAAAACAACCAAGAAAACCATTAAATTTTTTTATTTAATTGAGAAAAAAAAAGAAATTGAAATGAAAAGGAAAGGAAAATGAAAAAGAAAAAAAAATGAATTTTGATATAATTTTTTTTTTTGCAGTAAAGGAAGGAACAAGGTATAAATAGAAGAGTTAAAAACATAAAAACAAGCATTTATATTTTATAAAATGTAATAAAATTAACCCAGATTTTCACAACTCTCTAACAGCACAATAGCAGGTGAAGGTGGTGCTCCCAAGGACAATTAATCCTCTGCTTATCCTTGGATCTTCAATTAAATCCAATCACAGGCACCCTTCCTCTGTGTCACAATACAGTACAAGGGAGACAACAAAGCTTTTGATCTACTGATAGAAGAAATAGAATCGAAGAGTAGTGATGAATCCAAATCCGCTATCGGAGCCATATTACCTCCTCCATTTCCTCACTTTCTTCTCTTACCTCATCACTCGCACCTCCGCCACCTCTGTCCTCTCTCCTCACCTCATTCACCGCCTCTTTTATCGAGTACTCTACACCATCTCCCTACCCCTCTCCTATTAATTTTTTTTCTTTTTTTTAACTATATTGCAGCTTTTGGCTTAGTGAAATCAACTGTTTTTATTTATTTATTTGTGTGTGTAGGAGATTCAAGCGGTTTTGGCGTTTGCCTTGTTAGCCACCTATAAGGTAATCGAATGAAATTACTTCTCATTTTTATTATTATCAATATTTTTTATCAAGCAAAAAGATCTTGTGATTTGGTTGACTAAATTTTACGTTTTTTAATTTTGTGCAACAACAGATTGTGAGAGATGAAACATGGGAAGCTTTTATTTCCAATATGCTATTTTTCGCTAAGGTTATCTCTCCTCTTAGTCTGCAATTTTACCAACTTCGAGCTATGAAATTAACGTTTCTTTTTGTTGATTAGCAAACATGATTGCAATGGTACATGCTTATTCAATATGGGAAATCACACTTGTTAAATGCGCTTGTGTCGTTGGAATGTCGAGTTTTCATTGATAGTGCAAAGGGAATTTGCGCAGTTGCTAACCAGTTGAGAGTTGTTTTGATTGATGTCATTTTAAACGATGTGTGCTTGCCATATCGAAGTCTTGGTTGGGTTAGTTCTATAATGCCTTTTCTGAATTGCAATTGTCGCCCCATTCTGCAATTGTGACTGACTAGACTCTCTACCTGATGAAAATGCACCTATAATTTAGCTGCACTTGACTGAATATGGGTTGCATCCTGTCGAATACAACCAGATATGATAAAATTATGATAGTGATATCCAGCTTTGGAAAAGGCACGGCTTAGGCTGAGTCACTGTAGACTTGTACCATGTTATGGTCTGCGTTGTTTCTTGTCGCTCTCCTCTGGGTTACTTTCTCATTCTGTTCTGACTTGAATTACGTGCTATTTTTTCAGATTTTTCTTGTTGCCATTTCTTTGATAATGGATTACCATTTGGCTCTCTGGTACATGGTGGTGTTTTCAGGTTTGTTTCTTTTTCTATATTATGACATCTGTTAGGAGAGTTATACTGGAAATTAGAAGATGTGGGTTTATGAGTTATATTGTTATGGTAATATGATTTACTTTCTTATGTTTAAATGTCATGCTTTTGGCTTTCTAGTCCTACCAAGAAATGTTTTTCTAGAAACCTTAAAATTATATCCCTCTTGATTGCATTGCTTTCGTTTACTTCTTCCATGAAGATACTTGTTCAATCTTGGTAGAAAAGGATGCCAAAATTGAATATCTTACAACTAAATGTGTAGATATTGACTTCAATGATTTTGTGTTGCAAAAATAACTTTTCTTGTACTTTACTCATTTTGCAGTGATATATCTTGTAACACAACCACCTGCTTTTGAAGGACTAGGTATGGACTGAATTTTGATTGCCCTCATTGATCCCATGCATTTCATGGAGTACAGACAGGACGTGCTATGTTAGGATCTCAGACCGCTTTTCTGTTTTTCTTTTTTTTTTTCTTTTATCTGGTTTGATTTCCAGGCATGTCAAGTAAATTAACACCACTTCAGTTGGAGAGCTTGCTGACAGAAGGGAACACATCAAGATTCTGGTTGGTTAGTTCTCACACTTTTCTCAGAATTTTAATCTTAAAAAATGTCCAGTGTGTTGACTTCCTTCCGGGCAATATATGCAAATGTTTAGCATCTCACTTTTCATGAAAGTTTAACAAGTTGAGCATTGGAACGTGTGCATTATTTATGAATTGAAGTCATTGAGCATTAAAAGACATGCTCCTTGAACCAGTTTTAGTTGAGGGAGAACAATGCAGGATCTCATCTCATCCATGATGACTAATTTGTTGAATGAGCTGCAGCTCTATATTCTTCTGTGGATATTAAAACCACACCAGGGAGGCGGTAATCGGTTATAAATTACACATTTTAATGACTAAAGACATTCTGGCTTATGTTTGTTCTTGCCAACTTGACAGTTCACCAATGCACATCCCTTGATTACAACTTTCACCTTTTTGCTCTCCTTGACTTTCTATTGGCTGCGCTACTGGTTAACTTGCCTTAGATGAAGCTGATAAAGCTTTCCATGGAGATTAATATGTATCATTTCTCACAAATATTGAACTTGCCTATTTAAGACGTGTGCAAAACAATGATTTTTCCTGTAGCGATTTTGGTGATTTTCTGGATTCCTGCATTTTGGATTATGGGAAAACCTTGCTTCTGGCAGGTAGAATTCCGCGCTTTGTGCTCCTCTGCTTGCATACATGCTAGTCGGTGCTTTCCAGAGCTCTCAATTACGTAAGTTTCCCATATTCAGTTACCATTGTTGCTTGGATTTTTGGAGAGCAGAAGAGAAGTTTCCTTTGTTTTTCATTTTATCACTCATGTCATCTATCAATTGCGTGTGCATGCGTGCATGTCTGTTTCATGTTCTTGTGTTCCTATAACAGATACTCGAACAAGAACTTATCATTTGGAATAGTTGATCTTGGACTCTTCCCAAATGCTGCAGAAAAATTTGGAATATCTCTAAGTGGTAAATAATAGGGTTACAAGCCATCCTAGGTGATTTTTCCAATTCTTCTGTTGATTGTTCTTGAGTACCTAGTCTTGAAAGGGTGGCCTTGATGTAGGTGGCATGGACCAACTTCCTACGTATATTTTGTTTGAGAATGCAACTGAGGTTACACGCTTTCCAGAGTGGGATTATGAAGCAAAAGCTTCTCATCCTCCTGTAACTAAGGTATTCCTGTCAACTTAAATTTCTTAGTTTTCTTTTATGTTGAATTATTTTCTATTCTATTGGCAAGCATCCTTTCATCTATGTGAACAGAAGAGGCAATTGATAACACCAATATGGTTTTATCATTAACCTTGAGCCAGCCTTGTGAAAGAATACATTTAGTTAATTCTTGTAGATTGCTTTGGTTTTTCAACCTAGGATTAAGCATTTAATTTCAAATATCTTGTTGCATGAGTCTCATATGCTTGATGATAAGATGGATAAATCACATTAGTTTCTTGCTCTTACTAATAATTTTATATCATACATGGACTGACTTCGAGTGATGCTGCATATGTTGCTCATTGTGAATATATTTTGTGCACTGTGAATTGAATATCTAAGAATTTCTGTTCATTCCTGGGCTATCTACTTTGCAGAGAGTTCTTTCACGACATTTTGAACTTGATCGGCATCTTCTGGGATATGTAAAATCCTGAGCTATTTACTTGTCAATTTAGAAGCTCCAATTCGTCAGTCATTTCAGAATACATCAGGGGGGTAAAAATCATCTTGATCACTTTTCTGTTCCCTTTGACAAAGAAAATTGACCAGGAATGTGTAAAGCTGTCAATTTACACAATTTAACACTGTTTTTGCACCGTTCACTCTCTCTTGATATAGTCATTTAGCTCTACAAGAGGTTAATGAAGAAAGACTTTTAAAAGCATATTTTTAAAATCCAACCTAGAGCAAGATCCGGGTCATGATTGATTAGGAGGGTCATTTTTAAAAAAAAAAAATTGACCTGGAAAATTTACCAGGAATGTGTAAAGCTGTCAATTTACACAATTTAACATGGTTTTTGCACCGTTCACTCTCTCTCGATACAGTCATATAGCTCTTCAGGAGGTTAGTGAGGAAAGACTTTTAAAAGCATATTTTTAAAATCCAACCTATAACAAGGCCCGGGTCATGGCCGGAGGGTTAACCTTTTTTAAATGATCAAATGATGATGCTCTGATCAATTTTTTTTTTTTTATAAAACAAAATAAATCTGACAGTTTTTTACCAGATCAATCCTTCCTATCCAGACCCAAGCCAGGTTCTAAGTTAACTTGTTGGTCGGTTCTAAGTTAACTTATTAGTCAAACCGAGCCTTATAACTGTAGTTAAAAGTGAATGGGGCACAGGCTCATCATCATTTTGACATGTTTCCCATTCATTTGTCAACCCATCGCTGTATGAAAACATGGGTAAATGATTTTATCCATTCTCGCACATCATGGGCTATTTTTTAGGCTGAAGCGATAGATGTTCTTTCTGATTACCCATTATATGAAAGTCATGTAAAGAAGTAAAGGATCGTCTTGTCTTGCAAAGTAGCTTCGCATAAAAACACTCAACCTGCCATACATTGCAACAAGCTGACTTGTTGATCCTTGCCATCCTTCCTGGCGTTGTCGTTTCCAAAGGATGTTGAAGCCTGATCGTTAGAGCTTGCAAACCTAACTCGAAGATTCTGGTTTTAATCTTATCAGAATGGGAGTTGCGGTTTTTATCAAGATGTGACAAAGCTACCCAGCCCATTCAGTTGATCCTAAATACAAAACACTTCTTGCCCATTCGTCGAAGCCACCACTCGTCACGAAACAATTTCTGCAGAATGTCTTTTTTTTTCGATGGACAAGTTTTAAACCGTCAAAGCTATATCCTAATATTGAATTCTTGCCAAGTGTTTTGCATGATTAATGATCCGAATTCTTCCACTAAAGATCCAATATTTTGTAAGAAATTTGTGATGGGCCTCGATATGGTTTTTATTCTAAAGAGTAGTGAGTTTTCGTTGTGTTTAGCAGGCCCTCTGCCCGAAGCCACCAAGTAGGGCGTGATCATGGAGAGGTCTCTGGCAGGGCTGTGCTAGGTTTAGTGGATTGGGAAACTTGATTTATTGGGCTAATAAACAACTGTATCATTATCAACTCATGGAGCAAACCATTAGTGCACCTAACAAACCTCTCAACTAGGTCATGAGTGAGTTAACACACCGGGTTAATTTCAATTTAATTTAAAACCTGTCTTTGAATCAAATATTAAACAATTTATTTCTCATATGAACTTACCAGGGTTGCTCAGACGTTTTTGGTTTTCAGTGAGGCAACAAGAGCCACGGCGTGTGCTCACACCCATGACGAGGCGATTAAAGAGAACCGCCCGGCACAAAAGGGGCCCGCCAGAGGCTAAAATTAAATACACATGTTGGGAGAACCGAGATTTCCGTCGCAATAAAGTGGCGCCGCCGAATATTCTCCTCTAGAATTAAATATTTTTTCGAAGGACAGGAAAAGAAATTAGGATTTGAAGGTGACAGTACAGTCGCAAATCATTATCAACCAAGGATGGATGGGGTCCAGTCCTTCTCTATTTCCTCGCCGCGTTGTGGGCCCCCACCATTTCCTTGTCGGCCCACGCTCAGGCCGTCCCACTCACCCTCGCTTTTTTCCTCACTCCCCATTAACTTGTGCTTGGCGTGCCTTTTGTTTAAGGGCCAGCAGTCACCTTTGCCTTTGGAAGTGGAATTTTGAGGCTATAAAAAAGGGATAGAAAATGCCTGGGGGAGGGGCCATGCTTGCTCTTTTCTATGAACACTCCTGCTAGATTGGATTTTACTACTCCTTCCTTTGCCTTGGATGTGCAAGCCTCGCTCTTGGGACATTCGTTGTTGGTATAAAGAATGGAATATTTTTATATTATTTAAATCTCCAATGATGTGCCAAACAAGCACGTTCTCACATTCATCTACGGGTTTCTGATCATCAGTTCTTAGATTTAATAACTTAAACATAATATTATTCTCAAAATTTGCTGCTACTTTCCATTCATGTTCTCGTTCTTGTACATTACGTTACATTGTTGTAAACGTAGAATATAGGTGCGATAGGAATTATTTTTAAAAATATTTTTATATTAAAAAAATATTTTTATATTTTTATAATTTATTTTCAATATAGCATATCAATTTAAAAATATTTAAAAACATAATAAAAAGTTAAAAAAAAATTGAAATTCAGCTGTGATTATTTCATTTTAGCTCATTTACATGCTAAATCTGGTTTAAAGGTGGATACAATTTAAGTCATTCGTTATTGATTTAGTTTTTCTTTAAAACATTTAAAATGCTATTTTTAAAAAAATAAAAAGTAAATATATTTTGACTATATTCATCAAAATATAATTAACTTACTTAGATCAAGTTAAACCATAATAATTTTAAAGAGATCAAGTTAAACCATAATAATTTTTTTCTTTAAGATCCACGATAAAGGATCTGCTGAGTTCTATATTGATCTGCAATAATTTTTTCTTTTTTAAAAAAAAAAAAAAGTTGGTATGGATACTAGAAGATCAAGGCTGGCTTGGTAGTTAACAGGATTTGTCCCCACAATAGTTGAAAAAGTAAGGAGGTTGATAACGACTAAGATTTTCATAAAAATAAAATTAATGAATTTATTTTGGGACTGCATATTGGTTATAAAATAAAACATTATCTCACACCCGGGTAAGAAATAAGAAATTAAAAATTAAAAGAAAATATATTACAAACTCCTAGGTAAAAAATAAAAATAAAACATGGGAACAAACAAACACAAGATTTGTACAATCGGTATTACTTTTTTACCACTATCACTTTTGTTTACCTCTTTTCACAACAAATAGTAAAAGTGAGGAAAGGACAGGGGACAGAGCGACGTCGTGTCACAGCAAAGGAGGACTAGGGCTGAAAGAAAGTCCGTCACGTTGACGAAACACGAAGTCTTTTATTACAAGCAAGCGAGACACGCCGAAAGATGGCGACACGCGTTCTGTTTCTAGTGGTCCCCATTTCCACTCCTGGTGGTTTTGTGATACGCACTAGTGGTCCTTTTTTTTAAAATTTATTACCAATCTCACTTCATCATGACCAAATATTTTGGAGCTACCACATTTGCTCCTATCATTTCCTCAACTTAATTTATAGCCCATGCTTGAAGAAGGATCGAGGGTTTTTTTTTTTCATTAAAAATTAAAAATAAGAAATAAATTTTGGTGTATTTATTTATAGGTGATGTATGTGGACAAGTTAAATTGGCATGTGTATGCTGAAATTATTGGTATGTAGTTGCTTTGTTAGAATTTTTTGGGCTTGTATGTATCTATATGTAGAATATAATAGTAAGTCAAATATTCCAATGTCTAAATTACAAATGTAACGTAATGTTCAAATATCATGAGATTAGATTCAATGTTTCAAAATTTTACCATGTTTTTCTTTGTTTGAATACAGACAATTGGATTTTACAACAAGTAATTTGAAATTTTAAAATTTGTATTTTTTTTGGTATCTGTCATGGTGTGAAAAGAATAATAACTAGTGATATTTTATTATTTATTTTTTTTATTTTTGGATTTGAAAAAATTTATTTTTAGAAAATATACTTTATGGATCTAGATAAACGAGTAAAATTCTGGTTGTTTCAAACTCTTACAAGAAGCGTATGTCCTGACTCGAACTCGAAAACTACTATACAAATCTCAAATTTTTTATCATCGCACCATACTCATTTAAGACCATTATTTATTTATTGAATTCATGTTAAAGAAAAAGTAGGTATAAATAGTAAAGAGAAATTATATAAATATATTCTTATTATTTTTTTGAGTTATGAAGTTTATTTTTTTATTCTCTCCGTGTTTATCTATTTTTTCAAGATGAATTTAGAAAATAACCAACCGGTCACCACTAATTACTCCCTGAATACAATAAAATTCTCCTCCGTAATGCATGTTGTCCTGTCCACGTACTGGTCATTTGTTGAGCAGCTGGATTGCATTAACACGGACACAGCAATTCCAGGGGAAATCCATCAGTTTACATGGCAGATTTGGTGGAGAAACAAGAGAATTCAGAGTCTTGCACTGTTCTCTAAAGAAGAGAACAGTGCTCATGTTGAATGGATCATCACAACGAACAATATCAGGCAAGCAGTAAACTTTGGAGGAGTGCTAAAAATTGAATTCTTCATCGCAGGAGCATGCATTAAACGAGGTTCAAGAATCATGTGTATGGCAGCAAAAACATTATGGAAGTCAAATGTGATTGATGTTGAACGAATCCAAAGCAATCCTTAAATCACAGTTTAAACGGGTTAATGGCATTCTTGTTCATTGGAGGTGTCACATGTTATGGTTTGTATTATTTATTCAGTCCATTTTATTGTTAAATTATCATAGGATGGATAAATATTGTTTTCTACTTGTTTTAATTGCCGGAAATTATTAAAAAAACCTATATTTTATATATATTTCTTTAACTCTAGCTTCTCATATTTGATGATAATGAAAATTCAATTCATTTTTATAATTAAATAGTTTCAATATATTTTGAAGTTAGAAATTATTTCATTTATTTCCAGAACAATGGAAGTTCAATAAGTTATAAGAAATAGAAAATAAGAGGGAATAATCTTAAAATTTTAAGGATCCTGGAAGGGTCATATAAATTCACATAGATCATTTTAGAATTAATTTATTTTAAACTTGATTGGATATTATACATTGAACCATGTAAATATCTTTTTAATCATACTAAGACCAAGTAGATAAATACATGCATGTAGTTTTTTAATCTTTTTACATTTTATTAATATCAAATGTTACATAAAAATTTTAAAAAATACCCTTTTGATTTGATACTTTTTGAAATTATTTATGAAAATAGATTGAGTTTTCATTACCAGGAGTGAAAATTCTCAGCTCAAATTAAATATCAAAAGCTGATATTTTTCTTAAAGGGATTTTTTGTTCAATAATAACTGATAAATCAAACGGAGAGATCATATTGACTCAAATATTATTATTGATTAAATTGGCAATGCAAGCATGCTTTAATACGTCACAACTCTAACAATTTTGGAGGAAAAGTTGCCATTAAACCCAGTTTAAACAAATAAAAGCCCAAAAATTTAAATTAATTATACACAAATAAAATCTAATCAATAACTTGATCACGTATGTAAATACCACATGTGATTGTAATCTTACACGCCAGCAGATCATATCTACATAGTATATGATTATTTTCTAGGTGTTTGTATGGGTGTATTAATTTTTGTTTTTGAATATATTTTAAAACTATAATTTACTTTAAAAAATATTTTTATATATTAAAAAAAATCACCCTACACTACAATGCCAAACATACACTTTTTTAGCTACAAAATTTAAATATATAGCTTCAAGTGCATGCGATTTAAATTTTAACTTAAGAAATAATGAAAAAGAATCCAAAGAATTATTTTTGGAGAAAAAGTGAAAGATCTATAAAATAAAAATCCTATATTGAAAGGGAAAAAAGAAATGATACTCGCAGGAGTGAGGTGGCTGCTGGTGAGGAGCACGTTGTAAAGTTAAAGAGAGAGCCATCACGCGTGCGGGGGCCACACGTGTGGTCCACCACAACATAGATATGGTCTGCTGGCGTCAAGTACAGGCTACAGCCAACGTGGACATATGTCATAACTTCATAGGCTAACAGTACAAAAACTATACAGGTGATAGAGGCAACTAAAATCAGTCCCTGCTAATTTATAGGAATTACGTAATAGTCTCCAATCTTTAACAATTTTCAAATTTCTCTCCAGCCTATCTTTAACGAGCATAAATCAATAACAATCCACTTGCCAAGCTACATACTCCATATAGAAAAATAATTTTATTTTTTCATAATAAATCTTACTATGTGTGTCTCAAAAGAAATCAAAATTCTCATAGATTAGACCGGAAAAAATGAATTGTTGTTACATGTATAATATATGCTAAGATAAAAAAAAACCCGTTATAAGAGTATATTATAAAATAAAAATGACATTAAAATTAAAAATTCAATAAGAAAAAGACATAAAATCAATTAAAATAAAGGAAAAAAACCTTGGATTTTAAAATTTGAAAATAAAATTTTTATTTTTCTAAATAAGGATTCTTTTATATTATCCCGAGATGATAAACAATGTTTTGCATGTAAATCATACCAATTGAAGTTAGAATTTTAATTTCTTTTGGATTCAATGATATGCTTATTTTTAGATTGTTCTTTACAAATCATTTTTTTTTAATTGGATCGGGAATGGATATATCTATGAAAAAAATTTCTATATTTTTTTAATAATTAAAACATTTTAATTTTCTATCAACGAGCCATAACATAGGTAGGAGCGGAACCAAGTATATTTTACTGGGAGGCCAAAATTAATATAATAATATATAATATTAAAAAAATATTTATTTAAATTAAAAAAATAAAAACTTTTTTGAGGGACCGCTGCTTGCCCTCCCCTAATTCCGCCCCCGGACACAGGGGATGAATGTGTTACAACCTGGAAAGGTGAGGGAGAGACATGCAAAATATTGAAGGTTGTAGACTGATTTGTTAGTTTCAATATAGATTAGACACTAATTTTAAATCTATCTCAAATTGAAAATTAAAAAATTTCCAATATAACATATCTTCTCATGAATGGCACATATTTCCATGGTCCTAGCGGGACTGGCG